CCATACCTATCCAAATTCAACACAGAAACCAAAGATCTAGAATCAGTGCCTCTTGAGTAAACCATAATAGTTCAATTGGACGATGCTCATCCCAGTGAACCAACCAGAATGGGTCTCAGGCTTGTTCCCTGATATGTGCTGAATTAACTGCTTATTGGCAATTTAATTGGGCTCAATGGCCCTAGGCGAGGGATGAGCCAACTTGGATTTCCACTCTGGGTCACTGTGCAATTGAAGAGGACATGATCAAATTTGGTTGAATAAGACAGCCTCAGCTCCCTGCCTGCGTCTCCCCCTGAAGAATAGAACCAAATCCAAGTATCAAATAATAAGCACAGGGATGTTTCTGAGAGTGGCTGTCATGACACTACAGTGTGGAGTATAAAAACAAATTTCATTTATATAGTGTCATTACCGTAATAGAGAATTTTGCAGAGGCATAATAAGATAAACCATGTTACGGTGATATAGGACAGTTGACCTGATGTTTGGTGAAGAAGGTCAGTTTTAAGGTGTGTCTGTTAAGAGGAGAGAAAGGTAGCAAGGTGGAGAGGTTTAGGGAGGGAGCTCCTGAACTGTGGGCTTTGGCAACAGGTGGCTGAGAATGGTGGAAATGTAGAGAAGAGGATCCTTGAAGGATGCCAGGCAGTTGGTGGTTTATTAGATCTGTGCAATACCTACAACTCACATCCCACACACAACCACAATTCAAGCAAGTTACTCGAACACCATTTTCCCTTATCAGCTCCATGCTGCTTTTCTTCAATTAATCCACACTTGCCCAAATGACTATTAATTTTGACCTGAATTGTCTATTCTAGAAGCTTCCCCACCACTAAGATTAAATTGACTGGTCTATAGTTCCTGGGCTTACGCAGCTAAAGCTTAGTCCAAGAGGTGGTGGCCAACAGAATTCCTCGGTTTCAGCATGTCACTCAAGTATTAGGACTCTTGCCTCTAAGCCATTAGGTTCTAAATTCAAGACCCCACTCCTAGACCTGGACACAAAAGTCAGGGCTGATACTCCAGTGTAGTACAGAGGGACTGCTGCATTGTTGCTGTCTTTTGGATAAGATGTTAAACCAGTAGCCCATCTGCTCAAAGTTATGCCTGAGGTCCTAGCCAATATTTTACCCCAAACCACATTACCAAAAGCAGATTATCTGGTTGTTGTGAACTGCTGCCTTAGAGAGCTACTCTGTGCAATTTGGCTGTCGTGTTTCCTGCATTCAAACAGTGTCTACACTTCAGAAGTATGCAATTGATTGCAAAGCACTTTAAGACATCCTCTGGTTGTGAGAAATGCCATATAAATTAATTCTTTCTACCATGAGGTTTCATGCAGGCTTACTTGTACTCCAACCTGTTGGGAATTTAAGCCAGAATAGTGTAGATTTCTGAAAGGGAATCCACATGACTTAGCTTTGGTGCGGTTGGAAATTAGATCAGGTTTTGCATCTTGGATTATTTGTCCGTCTATTGACACAAATCACTTGCATCAGTGGGAAAGTGGCATTATGAAATAGCATCTACCATTGTGTGCAATCCATACATAGGGTCGTAGAGTTGTACAGCATGGAAACAGACCCTTCAGTCCAACTCATCTATGCCGACCAGATACCCTAAATTAATCTAGACCCATTTCCAGCATTTGGCCCATAGCCCTCTAAACCATTCCTATTCATATACCCATTCAGATGCCTTTTAAATGTTGTAATTGTACCAGCCTCCGTTACTTCCTCTGGCAGCTCGTTCCATACATGCACCACTTTTTGCATGAAAAAGTTGCCCCTCAGGCCCCTTTTAAATCTTTCTCCTCTCAACTTAAACCTATGCCCTCTGGACTCCCCCACCCAGGGAAAAGGCCTTGCCTATTTATCCCATCCATGCCCCTCATGATTTTATAAACTTCTGCAAGGTCACCCCTCAGCCTCTGATGCTCCAGGGAAAATATCCCCAGCCTATTCAGCCCCTCCCTGTGGCTCAAACCCTCCAACCCTGGCAACATCCTTGTAAATCTGTATCATTGAGAGACGTAATCAAGAGCTTTCAGGAATTTGATTGTTGTCTGCATTTAATATATATCTGGGTAAATAACCTATACATGGCACCAATTGGCATTCAGATCAGCAAACATTTCATTTGTTTCTGGGTGAATCATGGTTATATGTCAGTGCTGAAATTGCTTCTCGGAAGGCTCCCTCAGGGTGAACAGCACAAAGGCTAGAGATGAGGCTAAACAACATTTGATTCAAAAAATTGTATTTCACTTGTCTAAAAGTATCCTCAGACTGCTGCAAACTACAGAATGCTGTCTGTGAGACCTTCCAATACATGTGCCTACAGAATCACTGATAGATTTGCAAAGTGTTGCTCATTTAAGGGTAAGGGTACATCTGGTCATCACATTAGTGAAGGATTCCTGTGCTTATTTTTCTATATGTAAAAAGCTACTTTTTTTTTAAACTTTAGGAATTCCTAACACTTTTGTTTGAAATGTGGAATCTAATATAATGTACCTCATTCTTGAAGTAAGCACAACACCATATGTTTCAATGAGCCTGCAGCTGATTTTTCTGATCCCAGATTTCAATTATAACACTTCCTCCCTGTTGCTAATAGAACACCAGTATGTGGCCAGCTCTGACATAGGCCTGGCAGAGTCTTCATATCAATGTCATTGCACCATCCAGTCTGTCAGCACGTTGCTGCTGAACTGCAGGCAAATCCACAGGGTCACAAAGGCTCTGTGTAAATTGGCTGTCACGTTTCCTGCATTGCATCAGTGTCTACTTGTGTGCAGAGAACCACACAGGGCTGTGCTTTCATTTTCTTACAGAACCCAAACCAAGTCAGGGAAGCTGGGGAAAGCTTTAAGATGTACCATTAACGGTCAATGTTTTGTGGAGACTTCTGTATGCTTGTATGGTTGTCCCTCTGAATGAGGGTGATAGCTCATGGCAAGAACCAACCTGTGAAGCCTTTTATCACAAGGTGAGGCTGTGATTCTGTGGCTACCACATGGTTTTGTTTGACCAGGAAACACTCTGACTCTTGCCTCCTGTCACTGGTGTATTGGAAGGAGTTACAGACTGTGATATTTTGTTGTGTAGTGAGACTAAACAACTATGGGCTGCCACCAATACAGTCTGGATAAATGTTTCTCCAGGGCTAAGCTGGCCTAGTGTGGATGAGGATAGTGACTGCAATAAGCTATTGTAGTGAACAAGATATGGTTTATTGCCTGTCTGCTATTTATATGCTACAAGGATATGGTATAGAGTAATTATTACAGACTGTTAGGAGTATCAGATCTTGGGTCTGACTCAGCAAGCTCCTTAGTTACTCTGCCTACCAGTTCACATTACATCATCACAATGGGTGGTGCTCTATCTGTATTAACCCTTTCAGATCCATATTCAATATAACTAATTAAAACCCGAAAGAACTGCAGATACTGTAAATCAGGAACAAAAAACAGAAGTTGCTGGAAAAGCTCAGCAGGTCTGAGAGCATCTGTAAAGAAAAAATCAGAATTAGGGTTTCAGGTCCCAGTTCTGAGGAAGGGTCACTGGACTCGAAACGTTAACTCTGATTTTTTTCTTCACAGATGCTGCCAGACCTGCTGAGCTTTTCTAGCAACTTCTGTCTTTGTTCAACATAACTAAGCTGGTTGGCCACTTTAGGAGGCACTTTCCATGGTTGTCAAGAGTTTCTGACCCAGAAATAGGGACACAACCCACCGCATCACAGGAGATGTTCCAGTGCATCCTGTGGAGGAATCCCAGACACAATGAGATAGGGCTCGCATTGGATCTTTAAGAGATGTGGATATGATTTTGCCTTTTTGGGTCGCACCCCAATTGGGTGTCAAGTATGTGTCTGAGGGTGATATTGTGTGGGGAACAGTCACCTGACAGTGATTCTCCCAAATTAGTGGTCAGAGGACAGGCTCAGCACCAATGAAAGATGGCAGGCAAGCTTTTGAAGCTGGAAGGATGTGGGAGGCTGCCTTTTCAAATAGGGAAGCTGGTGTCTCAATATCGAGATACCTGCCCTTCAACTGATATAAGTTATAAACAAAAGACAAAGCAGCCAGGTCTGTATTGTGGAGGGGAAACTCCATTGAGGCCCATGGCAGACTTCAAAACCTACCTGGACCTTCAGTGTGTTGCTGGGAGGACACATCCTTCATATCTACTTCTTGAGTTTTCTGCCTAAAGGCAGATCCAGCCCACTGCGCTGGGATCTTCACCTTGGGTAAGCCAAGGAGGCAGATCCCAAATCTACCCTAGCACCAATAAGAATCAAACTCCATGTTGCTTGTATTATTTCTGACTCACACTGACCGTCCAGCCAGCCGCCACCACCTCCCCCCAAAAAATGTCTAACAAAATGCAGCTATGAATAAATTGGGGGTGTAAGCAATTGCAGATGATTTATCAGTATTTTCTGCTTTAAAGATTGTTCCTATTTGAAGTTTGGGGCTTTTTGAAATCTCTCCTTTCTTCATGTTCTTCATTGCGGCTCTTAATTTCAGTGGTTTATATTGTACTGTATGTGGAAACTAATTATGCAAATCAAAATAAATGCACATCATTTTTATGGAATAAAAGCAAAATATTACGGAAGCTGGAGATCTGAAATAAAAGCACAAAGTGCTGGAGAAACACTCTGGCAGCATGTGTGGAGAGAAAAACAGTCTCCACATTTTGAGTCCAAAAATTCTTGTACTTGAAATGTTAACTGTTTTTCTCTCCACACATGCTGCCAGACCTGCTGAGTTTCTCCAGCACTTTCTATTTTTATTTCATTTTGTGAATGTTGACTCACCTGAATTCAACACATCTGTGAGACTTAATATCAGATGGAAGTAAATGCCTAAAGGATGTTGTTTGTTACCGTAAGTGCAAATAGAAATTCTTTAGTAAAATGGTGTGGTGTTGATTGTTGTGTCTCTATTGCTGCTTTGGTTGTTAATGCTTTTGTTTTAATTGCAGGGCAACAATTGAGGAAGTGGAGACTGATGTCGTGGAAATCGAAGCAAAACTGGATAAGGTGAGTAACTATTCACACATGAATTCAGCTGCTCCACTGAAACCTTAAAACTACACATTTTAATCAGATTCTGACATTCATGACATAAACATAAGAACCAGGAGCAGGAGTATGCCATTCAGCCCCTCAAGTCTGTCTCATACAATAAGATTATGACTGATTTGCCCCATACCTCCATTCCTCTTTCATGCTAGCTCATCATAGCACACGACCCCTTCATATTCCAAAAAGCTATTTACCTTTTCTTTAAATACTTAGTGATCCAGTCCCCAAAACTCTGGAATAGAGATTTCCAGATATTTACTATCCTCTGGATGAAGAAATTTCTTCAAATCTTGGTTTTGAATAAACATCCCATTACTCTGCAAGTATGTCCCCTAGTTGAAATTTCTCCCAACCTTGGAAATGTCTTCTCAACATCTGACCTGTCAAGCCCTTTAAGCATCTAATATGTTTCAAAAGATCACCACTTATTCTTCTAAATTATAACCAATAAAGGCCTAATATGTTTAGCTCTTCTTGATAAATCAAAGCTTTCATCCCAGGAATCAGCCTACTGAATTTCCTTCGAACTGCCTCCAATGCCAGTCCATCCTTTCTTAAACACAGGGAGCAAAACTGTACACAGTACTCCAGATGTGGCCTCAGTAACACTTGGCACAGTTGTAACAAGGCATCTCTATTTTTAAACTCAAACTTCTAGCAGGAAAGTCAAAAATCCATTTGCTTTCTTCATCTGTATGCTAAACTTTTTGTATGTCATGCACAAGAATACCCAAATCCCTCTGTAATACACATTTATTGGAGTCTGTCTATTTAAGTAACAGTTTGTTTTCAATTCTTCCTATTAAAGTGCAGGACCTCACATTTTCCTGCATTAAACTCCATCTGTCAAAATTTTGGTCAGTTCTCAGGCTGTTTATTATCTGCTTATAGATTTTTTTATGTCCATATCACATCATGCCCTCCCACCTATTTTTGAATTTGGATACATTACCCTCTGCCCCTACTCTGAGTCATTCACATAGATAGAAAAAATTGAGGCCCTAGGACTGATCTTTGTGGTACACCACCAGTTACATCTTTCCAACCTTAAGACCCATTATTCATGACTCTGTCTTTTATATGTTAACCAATCCTCCATCCATGCTAATACATTACCCCCAACTTTGCGAGCTCCAATCTCTGTGCAATAACCTTTTATGTGGCACTTTGACAAATTGGATCTAGAGTAGCATTCTTTGAGTATATAACAAGTAGAGGTTAAAGGGAACTGGGAAATGTAGCATATTTGGATTTCAAGAAGGTATTTGACAAAGATGATTTACCTTTCACAAAACCATGTTGACACAATTTGAATGTATTAAGCTTTTCCAAATGTTGTGCTATTTCTTCCTCAATAATGGACTTTAGCATTTCCCAATGACAGATGTTAGGCTCATTGACCTATAATTTCCTGTTTTCTGCCTCCTCCCTTCTTGAACAGGGACATCACAGTAGCAGTTTTCGAATCCATTGGGACTGTCCCAGAATCCAATGAGTTCTGGAATATTTTGACCTAATCTTCCAATATTTCTGTAACCAGTTTCTTTAATCCTCTCAGACACAGACCATTGGTTCTAGTGATTTGTCTGCCTTCAGTCCTATTAATTTATCAAGTACTTTGTCCCTTGTGATAGAGATTGTTGTAAGATCTTTCTTCCCATTAGCACTTGCTTATCAAATAGGTTTGGGATTTTTATATAGTAGTCTTCACTGTGAAGGCTGATATAAATATTGGTTTAAATTTATCTGCCATTTCCCTGTTCTCAATTATCAATTCCCCAGATGCATCTTCCAATTTAGCTACTCTCCTTTTTATATACCTTTAGAACCTCTTGCTGATTGTTCTTATATTTCTTGTCAATTTTTCGGATGCCTGTAGATGTTTCCCAACCATGATTCCTTCCGTTGCTATTTCTTTCTTCCACTTGAGCTGATTCCACATCACGATCCATTGCATCTTTATCACTACTAATCATCTCGTTGATCTACTTCTTTCATAAAAAAACTATCCCACCTCCTCCTTTTTGCCAGTTCCTCTAGAATGTTGAATATCATTGAATGTTTTAAGTTCCCAGGTAACTCTGCAACTCCATCTCTGTAATAACTATTGTGTTGTATTCATTTATTTATTCATTCATTCATTTATTATTCAGCTGTCAACTTGTTATCTAATGTTTATTCAGACAGAGCTTTAAGCTTTCACTTTATACCATTATTACCATTGTGATTCTAGTTTCTGCTGCATTTTTCTGCTTATATTTTCTGCGCCTTCCTGTCGCACTGATTATTTTTTGCCTTTTCACTGTTCTGCACCTCAGCTTTCTTATTTCTTTCTAACTTTTAAACTTCCCTTCAGTTGAACCCTTCACTTCTCTCTGTACATGCACTCACCTCCTCCACTGCAACTGCCAACGAACACTTCCTAGATGTCGTTAAACTTGAAAGTGTGCAGAAAAGATTTACAAGGATGTTGCCAGGGTTGGAGGACTTGAGATAAAGGGAGAGGTTGAATAGGCTGGGGCTATTTTCCCTGGAGCGTTGGAGACTGAGGGATGACCTTTATAGAGGTTTGCACGGATAGGGTGAATAGCTAAGGTCTTTTCTCCCCAGAGTAGGGGAGTCCAAAACTAGAGAACATCGGTTTAAGGTGAGAGGGGAGAGATTTAAAAGGGACCTGAGGGGTAACTTTTTCACACAGAGATTGGTGCGTGTATGGAATGAGCTGCAGGGGGAAGTGGTGGAGGCTGGTATAATTACAACATTTAAAAGGCATCTAGATGGGTATATGAATAGAAAGGGTTTAGAGGGATATGGGCCAAATGCTGGCAAATAGGACTAGATTAATTTAGGATATCTGATCAACATGGACAAGTTGGACCGAAGGGTCTGTTTCCATGCTGTACATCTCTATGACTCTATGAGCAGATTTTCCATTCCAGTCTAGGAGTGCTGTCTTCTTGTTGAGAGGCACAGTTAGTTCCAGGATTGCTCATCCACCCCTCTATTACCAGTCTAGGTAGTGCAAATCACTAGCTTGTTCCATCACTAATTGGCCTCATAGCTAAACCTGTCCCTTTCCTCAAAAGCATTGAGAAAGAACAGTTTTACCATTTTGCAGTTCAGAGTGAGCAGTGGGACAGTCTCATGGAATGTTCACGCCTGTACCTTTATAGCCCACATCATGCATAGGGCTCAGGAACAAACAACCTGGTGGACTTTCATTCTGTCTGGGGACAGTGTGATCAGCCAAAAAGACTCTGTTTCCAACCAAGTGGAATCAGCTAATTCAGCACAGACCTGGACTGTGAGTTTGACACCAGCCAGTGAATTTTGTCACCTTGATCACTGGAAACTTAAATTGACTCACTTTCCAAATGTGGTCTTGTGAATCCAATACTTCTAGAAGAATGGGTACATTTTATTCAAGCATCTTGCAAACTGCTAGAGTCACAGCATGATTCTAAAATTGAATCTGTTGAACTAAACGTGTTGAGCTTTATGCATGAAACACCGAAGTGGGTGGCATTCCTTTCTCAGTTGTACTCTGCTCCAAACCATAGCAAGGAAGATTTCCAATAAAGTATTATGTGTTAATTTCTGTAGAATTCTAAATCCTAACAAAAAAAATTCTTTGATTCAGATGGAAAATATTTCCCACTGGTTAAATGCTCAGCTCATTTTGCAAATCTAATCATAGTCCTTGACACTATGTGGTCTTTCACTTATAAAATTCAGCCAAGACTAAAAGGATGAAAATGTGATCTAGGTGTGAAATTCTGCTATGAAGTGGCTGCTTCTACCTTGTCTTTTGCTTTTTTTTTTCCCCTTCCTTGTTTAATCTGTTTTTCTAATCAACCTGTTCAGAGAGGTTATTACATGCCTCTGGAACAGGTGGGACTTGAACCTGGGCCTCCTGGTCCAGGGGTAGAGACACTACCACTGTGCCACATGAGGGCCCCCTCCTGTCTTTAGTCCCAATTCAAAACTGCCTGTACCTGGTGCAGTGATTATAATGAGATCAGCCAGCTGTCCTCATAGAATATGAGTTCCCTGACTGGAGCTGTTAATCTGGTCCATTAGGGAGCCATGGCTGCCATAAAAGTTTGAGTGTCAGAGATACTGACTCTGAATGAGGCAGTACTAAAGTCAAGGACTGCTCATGTGTAAACAAAGGGTGATTTAGTAACAGAATATTGGCCTCTATGGAGTTATTTCACCTGGCACCCAGTTGCCACCATTAGAGAAACTCATCTGCTCCAGATGGGTTATCAATTAGACCCATTGTTGAGCCAATTGACAATAATTTTCCCCGAGCCCAGAAAAATTTAGTGGCACCTCAATGATGACAGAAATTACAGCTTTCCAGGGGTTTCCCTCTTTCAAAGTCGCTGATTAGCTAAGCAGGCATTGGGCACAGCAATGGCCATTGGAAGACACTACACTGCCCTTTCCTTTGTCTCTCTCTTTCTCTCTCTCTCTAACCCTAGCCTCTACCCCTCCCCCACCCTCATAACCCATCCTGCCCTCACTCAACAATGGCCTGGCTCCCTTGGCCATCCTAGATCTTTCCCTGGATACATTGCCAGCAGAAACCACCTTCGCCAGAAATGGGACATGGAATACTTAGAAAATACATGCAACCTGGGGCAGAATTTAATGCAATTTACGCAGGTTGAGCCCATCAAAAGGAAAACTTTCAGGTACTTAACATTCTTTAAAGTTATTCATTTGATGTGGACATCTCTGGCTAGGCCAGGATTTACTACCCATCCATATTTGCCCAGGCAGGCGCCAGATAAGTGTCCACATGACTGGGTAGTGGAGTTAGCCAGCCTGATTTTGGGTGGCAGCTGTTAGTGCATGAGAGTTTTGCCCTAGGGTTTCTAAATCCCAGAGAAGCTCTGACCCTGGGGAGAGTGGTGGCATTGTGCCAATGTCACTGGGCTAGTTATCTA